ACAAAGATCGTGTGATTATATTGTGATCTCATGCCCGGGAACTTTCAGCCCTCCGAGCGAGTGTCCCAAAACAAGGCTATTTTACAGAAAGAAAACACATCAGTGGTATTTGAAGTTGTTATTCATTTCTCCAATTTTCCTAAAACCCTATTATTAAGACACCCAGAAAATACGATGCTTCTTGCCAAAATTTTTCTACTTGCTTTTATTGGCTTTGAAACCGATATCAACAGTGTGATTACTATGTGAAAAATTGCATTCAACCCAATTGTTTCTTTATTTGCAAACAAGCTCACATGTGCAGACGCCTAATGCGTAAAATCACATAAAGATTGACTGAATGTTTTAATTCTCCCATTAGAATGGAAATCCGCTTGATGAATCACTTCTGATTTTATGACTTCTAAAGAGCCTCAACTTGAAAGGTTTATTTCTTCCTTTCTACCAATCAAATTTGGCTATTGGATAAGAAAATATCACATGAAACTGGTCGATTAGTGTTGTTATGATATTCACCTTCTGACCCCCCCCCCACTCATGCCTCGACTTTTAAGAATTGCATAAACAACAGATGACATAAATATAGGCTTTTTTTACACACGCTGAGATATGCATATTCAAGAAGTTAACTTAACAGATTACTGAGTGAACAAGAGGAAAATCGATAACAAAGTGAATTATTTGCTTTTGCTTAGGCGAACTTGCAGATTAATGAGCGCACAAGGTGAGAAATGAACTATCTTAAAACGGAGTAAAATGGAAAATATGGGATTTAAAGAGCTTTAAACAAAATAGAAAATAACGTAAGCTGTGAAGAGAACGAATAAGGCATAGGACGGATCAGTGGGGAGAAAATCTATGTTGGAACCAACTGTAGGCTACAAATTCTTAAACGAAGGTAACAAAGGCTTGTGAGTGGGCGAATTGGGTAGCGCGTGTCGCTACGATACACGCGTAAGATTGTGTTTGTGAGGACAAAACAGATTGGCTGCCTGATATGGCCAATTAGGGTCAGGCAGTGGTGGTGTTGGTGTGCGTGCGTGTATTGATGGAACAGCGCGAGATAATTACGCAACTTCGCTCACTAGCTCTCTTTCTCTAATACCCGCTTCCAGCTGGTTGGCAATGCGCTAAACGCGCAGATATTCCTGTCTGCCAACCTACCTGCCTATCTACGTACTACCTCTATAATAATAACTCTCTCTCTCCCCCTCTCGATTGTTACTTCTCTTTGGGGTGTGCATACACTCGATTTTTGGTAAGCAACATTGTGTGGCTTTTGTGTGCTTGTAATCCGTTTTTTCCTACACATTTCAGGTCGAAAAACAAAAGGCCTCAGTAATGAATGAGCTTGGTGCCTGTTTCTGTGCCTGAATATATTCGAAGACATGTTACTAAGAAAATTGCCAAATGGGTTCCTTCAAAGCTGAAACTAATTCGTCTTTGAGTTAATTGATTTTCACTTTGGAACGTCGCTGAAGAACACGGGAGCTTCGATGGATAAAGGCTCTCAGCTGTTTTAGGGTGAACTGGCAACTGATTTTCAATATTAAGGAATTATTGAGCAACTAACTAGGTACCTGATAAGCTATTTCCCTAAAGTATGCGGATGTTACAGGACTTCAGACTTGATCGAAAAATGCGAATTTTTATATCCGAGTGGAAGAAAGAGAGAAGTGAAATCACTGTGAGGTGGATCTCCTTATTAGTTTCTGATTTAAGTTGACATTGGGGAGAGTGAAATTCACAAATACTTCTCACCACACTTGGACAGAACCTATTGATGTGAACGAGCTGAAAATGCTTTTAGTTTCTAGGTAGCACAAAAGTCAGATCGCAGGGGACGTTACTTTCTCCAAGTCGATCATCAACCTTATTTATTTGCTTCGTGCATCGACTCGGACATCATGGAAGTTACTTGTGACGCAAATAACGTCTAGCCGTTCAGTTGTCTTTTGATCGATAAGCCTCAATAATACGAAGACACTTCGTACCCAACACATAGGAGGTAGGACTAAAGGCCATGAGAGGGAAACCAAAGTACAGTTAGCCAAAGGATTAAGGCCCGAGTAAAGCAAGATTAAGCGAACACAATCATTGAAAGTGTGGGAGCGGTAGCACACTAGCAAAAAAAGCGAACGATACTATGTGGACGTGAGAGTAAACATCTGTGCCTCCTGTTCTGTAACCGAGGTTTCGTTGTCGTTTTACAGGTGTAAAATTGAATTATAAAGAAATGAGCGAGTGAAATTCGCTGATCAAGAATCTCAACCGAAATGAAGGTATTTCAAATAAAAGTAAAAGGCGGTGGAGACTACACTCTTGACCATTATCCCAGTAGAGAATTAACTTAATTTCAGAATTGATTGCGAAAAATTATGTTGTTGCTAGTCTGATTTTAATCGCCTTTGGGAGATGAAGAGCTGTTATTGATCTCCGATATTTAAGTGCACTTTAACTCAGTAAATTTGATAAAACCCTGATGAAGGAGATGCGTTCTACCATTACACTCCTCATTCTGCGCCAAATTCAAGTAATTGTTTTTATTGATTTTCATTTTAAAGTGCGTTTAAAAAGGCTGAGCTGCCATCCCATAAAAACTCACGTGACTGACCAAAGTTCATATAGAATTGGTCTTTGTAACTTGCTGCGATTGAAAAAAGCATGAATGGATGAGATATCCAGTCGTGTGCATATTATGAACTGAAGAAAAGCTGCATTTTGAGGCTATATGGTATAGTGTACACAGTCATTATTGTAAACCAAATTTTGAGTGCGCGAAAGACTTTCATTTACGTGGTACACCCTGTGCAACGTATACTCATACGGCAAAAAGCCTATAAACCGACAGTTAACTTCTGAAATCACACTACCACGTCTACCCCTCTAACATCCGTGAATTACTCTTCTGTCCCCCCCCCACCCCTCCTAGACCTTTTATGACTCTGTCTCTTCCCCCTCCTGTGAACCCCTAAGTCAACTAAAGGGACAATGGTGACTATAAATAATCCAGATTGATACTCTAATGTGGTTGATGCTGTTTATTGATTACCTACCTGCTTCATTTGGGTTCACTGTAGGGCTCATCAAGCGAACAACGGTAAGAATCATGATTGGGTTTTTAAAATTAATTTAAGAACTGCAAACTTGAACAGATATTTACCAATCTCCCTATGATGAAAAAATAAATATCCTGTTCCCTAATATTTGACATCAAAGTACTCTCAAGCCCATTAGAAGTGTCCCCATTGGATGTGGATAAAAGCATCCTGGAACCATTCTTACAAAAACTGCCATTCCATCACCTCCCATATCGGCCAGAATTAACTAAGATGGCTGATCACTCACACCAGTTATTGTGGCAATTGTCTTGGTTGATGTGCACGTTGTCTACAGCGCCACTGACGTTTGAAGCAAGCTTTCCTCTACTTGTCAATCTTTAGAAGGTTCAATTGCATTGCAAGATTTATCGAAGGATAGTGAAGTTGGCTATGGTGCAAAACTTTGTGTATCAGCTACGCTTTTCACTATTATAAGTTACATATGTGTGATTCACTCAAATTGCTAACCAATAAGCTCTGAGCAATGTGAACTTAAACTAGCTTAAGGGGTCGGATATCATACAGTGAACTTCAGATATGACGCAAAGAACCATGTAATTAAAGGTGAACAACCTGATGAATCTATGCTCTTTTTATGTCAACTTTGATTACTGTTTTTATCCAGCATTCCAATGGTTTGTACTTTTTGAATTTTCACTAATACTAATCAAAGAATAGAAGGCACATCTTGGAATATCCTCTATCAATCCTCGCACGCATACACATTAACACTTAGTTGTAACCATTGGAGTAGAAATATTGCTCATAGGCCTTAAAACAAAGCCCATTTCTCCTAGATTAATTTAAGCTAATTTCTCCACTGAACCAACCTGACCTAGATATCAAATCGTCAGACCAGAAACTTCTAGGCACTTATTCATGAAGAGAATATCACTGCAATTTCACCATTAATTGCATTATTAGCAATTCTCATCATATTCCCTCGATAAGGCCTTGTGCGTTAAAACAAAAGAAAAACAGGAGTAAGGACAAACTTTTCTTGATAAAACAATTGATGCTGCACTCACGTACGCGTAATAAATGTGGAGGGGTTGTGTACAGAAAGAAAAGGAGGAACGGAGAGAGGATACTGATTAAATAGAGGAGAGATGTGTGTACAATAAGTGCTCAAAAGCAGTAGGGAAGGCGAAACAGTAATAACAGGATGAGAAGGAACAATGGAAATGAAATTATACACAGAAAAAGTGCGCGACAAAGGGAGCACTACGGGAGGGGGTGGGGAAGAAAGGGATGGGATGCACTTCCTCCCCAACTTATTATGTACAACCAATGGGGAAACAGGACTAGTGTGAGTGAGGAGGTATAAAAGTAGACTCGCAGCTTCACCTCTTTATAAAGTAGTATTATAGGGATATTAGTAGTTATTATAATGCATGGAAAGATGGTAAAGTAGTGTTATTTTGTATCATTGTCTCGCCATTATAAAAAGAGGGCAATTGCTGTTTCTCACTGTACAAAGGAGTTGTGTGGAGGTGTTAAAATGGACTCGCGGACGAGAACTATGTAAAGGGCGGAGGTACAATTTGGTGACGGATTGGAACTCGTGTTTCGAGAAAAAATGCCGTATGAAGTGAAGGCCCGTTCGCTCAACTTTTGACTACTCTATACATAAGCCTAAAAAGGGAAAAGCATTCGTGGTAAAGCAGTTTTTAATCCCATACAAAACCCAACGCGTATGATCTTCAAGTTAGACGGCTACAAAAATGATCACAGATGGCGTACTTTGTCCTATAATTGCTGTAACGGTAAGTGCTAAAAATTGGAACTTAACTACGTATGCAAGTGGATTGACATAATCCTTCCATACCTGAGGATTGCTAGGTTATAACATTGATAGTTTAGTCGCACCAATACTCAAAATACACTACTCACTGCAATTCAGCCACTCCCGCCTGCGGCAGCTTTTTGGAGATCGCTCAACCGAGCTTGTAGATGCTCTCGCGTTTGCATCAGTGACTCTCGGATGCCCTCCATATCATGACGAGGATGGTGATGATTAAATGCAGAGGCAGATGCCACGCTATTATTGTTACTATTACCATCAGCTCCGGGAGACGAATTCGAATCTAATTGAGTAGGAGGTAAAGATGACTGATGATGATGAGATCTTGACGATGGTGAATAACGGTGATGTTGGTAGCTATGATAGCTACCACTTCTCTCGTGGTGATGACAATCACGATGGCCTGATGATGATCTACAATGGTGGATTTGGGACGCGGAAGTGATACAGTAAGAGTGCTTTTGACGCTCCATTTGCCACTGGATGATCTCGCGATCGCGTCGAAGGAGGTGCTCAATAAGGGGTGGAGCATTTGGGGGGGAGGCTGTGGGTGTTGTGGTATCAGATTCGGACACTAACGCTGGTGGTGGTGGAGGAGAAGCTCTGCGTTGAGCATGTCCAGAGAGGTGTCTGTCACAACCATCCAAAGGCGGGCGGTTAGGAAGTGATGTCTACAAACATACAATTACGGAATAATGGTCAAGAATATACTACCATGCTTCAATGACCATAGCCTTTTCTTAACCTCAAAGCATACACAATTAACATCTCTTAGTTCGAACCTAACTTTTCACAATTTGAGTGCTGTGATCGTAATAAAACAGTTGGAGCGACCTCAAAGGTGAAAAATTCACTCAAGAGTTTAATTGGTCAGTATAGTTTCCTAGTATGGATCTAAAATGACCTAAAGTACTGCAGATCATGGTAAGTCAAAAACGACATTGAACATGAGCTGTAATCATCTTCAAATGATTATAGAAATTTCATTTTTATCAAAGAAACCCACCAACTTAGCTTCTATTTTCTTCTCACGGTTTCTGATATTTCACTTAATCGTAATAAAATTAAAAATTTAATAAACCACTAAGTATAAGACAGGATTTTAAACACACCCGAATATGGGAGTTTGAGGGAGAAGGGATAGAGAAGGTGTCAAAACGTTCAGCAGAAGCACTTTCCCTCCTATTTCCAGAACGAGGCGGAGACGGTAAAGACGCAGGAGCCGATAAAGGATGCTGAGACTTGCGGTCAGCCTCATCTTCACTGGGGGGCTCACTAGGCGTTCTGGGACCCTCGGTGAGAGGACCCAACGCACTCACAGTTGGGAGACGTTTCAAATCGATCTGAGGAGAACCAGGAGGAGTACTTGGCACAGGAAGTGGAGGTACTGCTACTGGTTCTGTGGATTGTTGCTGAGGTGGGGATATCTTGTTTGCTGCTCCTGACTCCATGGAAGCTGTGCTAAGACCCCTACGACGACGATACTCAGAGAGAGACATCCGGACTTTTTCCTGTTTGGGTTTGACTTTTGGAGGACTCTCCGCAGGGCGACACTCAGTTTCGACCTTGGATGCTTCTGATGACTCCTCTTCAGATTGACGTTTCTTCGGTGGAAGTTTCTATATAAAGGTGAGATAAAGTAAGCCTATTGGGAGGATGAAGCTAGTGCTGCTAGGCGGAAGTTCATACACTATAAAGAAGAGTTTGGTAACGAAACAAACACTAGCGTGACTAGTCAATCTAAAAATTACTATTATACACCATCGACCGCAATGCACCAAGATGTCCTCAAAAGAACAATGAAAGAACTATTAATGGATCTGACGCCGTCTCAAAAATTGATAAGAGCCTCGGATAATCTACTTGAATAAAAGACAGAAAGGACACAGGAACTACCGGTGACCTACTAACTGTTCTCAATTCATATCATCAATAGGGCTTAAATGATGAGTTTTCGTCAACTGAATGGGCTATTTGTAATTACCGAGCTAATTTAAGATGGAGGTGCATCCATAAGGATTTGAGAAATTAGTTTACTGTGACACATATTTCGAATTTCTTTAACTATTGATACAGTTTAGCATGATTTTAGACGTTAAAGATATAAATATTGATTGAATTGCTTATAATTTATGATGAGTAGCTAGACAAGGTCAGGATGCGAACAAACGACCTACAGAAGACGTTGCAAGAGCATCAGAAGATGGAGAGACATGTTCCGAATTCGGTGGAGAATAAATTTGTTGACTGGCCATAGCCTCCTCCAGTTGAGAGATTATGCGTTTCTTGGGGTTCAGAGCCCGCTGATTTTGAGAATTAGTCATGCTGATGGAAGAATCAGGCGGTGTGAGAGATTCCTCAGGAGAGGGAGTCGTGCGAACCGTTAGGGCCTGCTGGTGTTGCCGATCTTCCTCCATTAAAGCCTGCATAATAAAAGTCAAAGATAAAGAGGAATACTAAATCTTCCAAGTCTGTAAATGTAAAACAAGTACTTCTTTAGTATATTAGCAACCTCGAGGAAAGAGTAGGACAACTAGTCCTCCCTCCAACTTGTAATTTATTCGTCCGAGTAGTTCGGTATTAGAGAGAAATCGTTCATCATGCATGATCTCAACTCGACAAGAACAAGGAAAGGATTGAATTCGTCCAGTAGAGCTAATGACTTTAATATTAACTGCCTTTTGCATTTGTATCAACCTTATTTTTAGTTGCTATTATGCCCTAAATAACGCCGAAGCAACTAAAACGGCTCATAACAAGGATCACAAACAACAATTATTCAAATCCCTTCCAACTTTTAATCTAGACCTGCTCATTGACCACCTTCATCCTTCACCAATTCTTTTGCTGGGCAAGACGTAGCTAATACAGGTCAAACTAAGCAAAAATACTTAGCCATTAGTCACATTTTCACTAACTTGGATTTCTTGAGGGACGTTAATGAAAAACTTCGACTCACCTGTGACAACCACCGTTTCTTGGAAGGCTTTGGAGGGGAAGACGAACCAGCAGACAGTGGTGCATTAAGAAAGTTACCATCAGTGGCATGCTGCCCTCCGTTAGTAACATGGTCATCAAGGAGTTCGCCTCCAGCAGGCAAATCTTCATCCAAAAAACTTTCTACAAGGCTGTACGACCTATTCATATAGTTCTGCTCGCTGTGATGAAGAGCAGTTCGCGAACGACTGAATTTCGCCATTGGATCTTGTTCACGACGTTTGTAGACGATCAGACTGCATTCCTCCTCACCTTCTCTCATTCCATGGGAATTGTTACTGTCTAATCCCAATTCCTTCTTTGTCGAAGACCGCTGATTATCACCGGATATTTTATTTCCACTACTGGCACGACGACGTTTCGCAGGAGTGTCAACAGGAGTTTCTGTGGACTCCATCTCAGCAATTCTTTGAAGCTGCATTTGCATCCACCTATCTTCACGGGACAGTTGAGCAGCTGATCCAGAATGGCCCGCGCCTGATGCACCTGACACAGTAGATCTCCTCTTTTTTGTAGACCCATCCATCACCGCTTCCTCTTCATCTTTGATGTCAACGCTTCTTTTCGTCAACGCCTCATTGCCATCAATTGCAGGAGATTTTGGAGAATGGAGTTCAGATTTCGGTTCAACAATCGATGATGTTTCCTCAGACTTCTCAATCTTCGGTTTCTTCTCCACTAAACCCCTCTTAGAGCGCTTTTTTTCCATGCGTTCAATCCGACGCATAACTTCAGCAAGCCATCTGTCCTCTCGGAATTTCTTTAAGGGAAAGAAAAGTAAAATTGAATGCATTTTCTTCAATCAGGGGCTACATAAAGTAACTTACGCTTGATCTCGACTGTTCTTTACCAGAAAGATCATTCTGTTCTTCAATGTGCGAGTCATAGGCTCCAAAATCTGACTGTCTTCGTGGACGTTTGGTAGATGAAACTAATTCACCACCACTCTTCTCATAACCATCCAGACCATTTATATTACGTCCAGACAACTTTCTAACCCTTTTCGCCTTTGATTGAGGTGACTTGACATCTAGCGTTGATTTTTCAGTGAAAACTGAATTATCACCTTCAGGAGACTGCAGTTGTGGTGAATTCGGCGAATGTATCAAAGGTGGACGTCTACAAGATCGATGGTGCATTGGAGACCGCAGATTCTTCGAGGATTTTCTAAATCTAGTTAAGTCTTTTGTCAAATATCTCTTTCTATTTGCACCAGTATCCTCGACACCACTGAAACGGCGAACACGATTTGAAGGAACGTCGTTGGTAGTCGCCGCTGGAGAACGAGAAAAGCGCCAAGGGGAAGTGGAGGAAGGCTCAGTGACATCAGTTTGTGGGGAAGAAGAGGCGATTGAATTCTTTGCACGACAAAATTCTGCTTCTTCCTCTTCGTTCTCGGAATGTGGCGGTGGTGGCAGTGGCTGCCGATGAGTGATCGAATTACGCTTGACGCCACTGTTTGGTGGCCGTCCACGTGGTCTACCAGGAGCTCGAAGTGGTTGATTCGATCGAGTGGGAACCGTTGATAAAAGGCCTCGTCCACGACCTGACCCTCGTGCTGCACCGCGTGTTCCTCCCCGTCCCGTGCCACGTTTACTTGCTATAGGGGGGAAGGCATCTCCAACCGCTATACCATTCGAGTGCCTACGATACTGTTGTTCATGAACAATTTGTTTGGCAGAGGGATAAGGGACGCGAGAGAAGGCCGGGCTTACGCGTTTAGGATTTAGCAAACGCCTAAAATATAATTTTTAAATAAATTAACGACTGGTCAACCTTAATAAAAGCAAGTTAACTGTTCATAACTATATAGGTACAGTCACCGTATTTTAATTCTTTTTAAAAACATGACCATCCCGACAGTAATACAGAAATATCCCAAATAAAGAAGACGTTAAGGAAAAAGAAGTGACTTCCGTAGAGTGAAATCTTGGCTTATTTAATTTCCACTCCTTACTACTTAACAAGAATTGCTATAGGCAGTCCTCACACAAGTTGTCCCCAGGTTGACTAAAAAAACATTGGCCTCAAGTTAGTGATGCCACCTTTACATAATAAAAAGCATCCACAGCCAATAAGGAAAGTGGGAAAGATGACCAAGTACCAGTTATTATAGCATTATTACAATAAAGTAATAATTAAACCGGCCGTCCGAAGTAACAACAATCTTTAAACCCCACCAAAGTAAAAAATGATATAGGGATTACAAGAAACTAGAGTTTAAAATTAAATTCAACAAAATCTAACGGTTTTATCCCATTTTTAACCAAAGGATGATCTATCTAAAATCAGACCTTACCAAAAATAAAAAAACACTCACTTGAATGGAATTCTACTGCGAGGTGGCTTAACACTAACAAACCGGCTTCGGTTTCGGTCATAGAGGTCATTTTCCCCCTCATCGCTCATCTCATCTTCATTGTCAAAGTCGTAGTCAACACCGCCACCGCCACCGCCACCATCACCGTCTCCATATTTCTCCTCTGTATCACTATAAATCCTATGACGTTGGGAGATTGACAAATGCCTGTGACGTCGAAACCAATCTGCGACAGCACAAAGGGAAGGCCCACGACCACAGGCACACCGAACCGGGTAACTACAGGCCGTGTAGTCGAAATCGAAGCCCACTGTGAGTTCAGTACCCACAGGGATAACCCGATTTACTGCCGAAGTGATAACAAATTGAATGCACTGAGGGTTCACCACGGAGGAAAATGAATCTGTTGGTGGGAAAGTAAGTCTAACCTATGGTAAAATAGAAGGAAAAGGTTTAGAAATTCACCTTTTATCAAGATACAATCAACCACATACGCGTCCACATGCAAAAGCATATACACACAAACCCTTGACATGTGCACACACCAAGTGCTTACTTCACAATTAGGTATACAAGAGCGTCGGATAAATCTCGCCTCGTTGCCGTAATTACTCGCATCCAAGCATATAACCGCCTTGTCAAGTTGTTTGTAAAACAACACGAAGGGATTATAGCGTCTCTTGTAATCATGTTGTTGACTGTACTCATCCATCAGCATGGCATAACCCTTGTATTCGATAATAGGTTGGTTGGGATAAATGGACTCTGTCGCAACAAGTCCCTAAACACAAAGAATGAGATAACATATACAATTGAAGATGGATTACTTTATAAAAGAAAAACTACCTTGCGCCCAGATTCAAAACTTGTAACACGACACTTCTGTTGACCACGAGAAAGAGCAAACGAGTCTGCCATTTGGAGAGTCTTCAATTCTCGTTCAGAAGGTGAGAGGAATATGTTTCGAATTCGTTGTTTAAGGGCCTCAGAGAGTCGTGTTTCAGCCGCTTTCTCATAGGAGTCACTTCTAATGACAACATCAGCTGAATTTGGCTCTGGAACACCACAAGACAGTGTCACATCACAATTAGTGTAATGATCAACCTTTGCACAATCGATGTTATCAACTCCAACAACAGAGTTCATTGCTTGTGAAGGTGTGCGATAAAACTTGGGGCCCGGTAGATCATTACCCTCGCTATTGGAAATACTTGTTTGATCAATACTATTAGAGACGGAAATATGTTGACCATTGGGGATGCTCGATTCTTCGTAGGAGTAACTATTTGATATATTATCAAATGTAGAAGTAGATTCTCCTGCCAAAGTAAAGAGATCTTGTTTGCGTTTAGAAGTACGCTGACTACTTGTAGTATTGACATAGGAAGGCTGAGATGGTTGTCTAGTAAGAGCGGAGGCATCCAAGTTGATGAATCGAGGCGAAAACTGATTGAGAGTTGTGGAATCAACCTGGTAGAGAGTTGCACCGGTTTCACCAAGTCGAACTTGAATAGGACGAACTGATAAAGAGGTGGAATTTTGACTAGTAGTACTTCCGGTGAGGAAAAATCGATTGGGGGCGATAGTTGGATGGTTAGAACGAGGTAGTCGAAATGCCGTGGCGGGATTAGCTAATCGAATTGTACTTGCTGTCAGTGGGGTCTGAGGAGCAGAAATTGCCAATTTCCTCCGTTGTAAACCGACAGCCTCACTAACCATAACAGGACGTGGTTGACATAATTCGCATAGATATGGCTTTGGAAGAACACTATTTGAGGAGGGAGCCATACATTCTGCATGTTGAAAAATTCTGGACAAAAACGAAAGATAAAATGAAAGATCATAGAGATGAATAAAAAATTTGAATAAAAAATTTAAAAACTTACTTGCAATTGGTGCATTGAATAAGAAAACCATCATCCCTATTATAACCACAAATGCAGCGAATGGTGACAGCGTTTGAGATACCATTATAGACAGCGCCGTCATTAGCGGAATTAAAATCTGTTCTTAATAGGACTTGAGGAGGCTTAACGGACGAAACACGATGAATCTGGACAGATGCACCGAGGCTACCCCGATTAGGAGTTAAAAGAATGGTCCTGCCATTTGTAGTGGCTACTTTACAAGTTGCTGGTTGCAACGATGATGGAGACTGGTAACTTTGATTAAGGAAGGGAGCCTTAATAATCGTTACATGGGGAACATTTGAGTTTCGGAAAACGGGACTTGAAACAACGTCAGGGGTAGTGGATACCGTCTTCGAAGTTGAAACAGATCTTTGAAGCGTAATGGTATTACTTTCTTTTCCCGATAGCGCAACTTTAGCCAATAGAGCCAATTGGTTATCACCACTCGCTTCATCTTCACACACCTTTGCATAGTTATGATCCTATTAAGGTTTCATTAATGAATTAAAATATGAAAGTTACATTATAAGGAAGTCCGTGCAATTCACCAGGTTCACCATACGTCACGGCATGAAAGGGATAGTCATCTAGGTCATTACTAAAAATTTAAAATTTAAAATAAGATTTCTTACTTGTTTGCGGAAAAAGAACACACAGCTCGTTTGCCTGTCCATACCTTTGAAGGCGAATCACAAACGAGTTCCGCTTGATTTTCACTTATATCAACAGTACTACCGATATCGGGCACCAAAATTTCATCGCACGAAGAAGGATTGGGCAATGAAAATTCATCGACTTGTAGGTTTTCACACTTCACTTCCATAACCTATCATATCTGAAATTAAGAAGAAAATATTAACAAATTTCCGATTAATTTGGGAAACAATAGCAATAACACAAGAATAAGATGTAGCAGAATAAAATAATTTTTCAATATTTCTGTAAATTGACTCCAAAATGTCAACATCGTAACCGAATAATAGCAAAAACGCAAAAACGCAAAAATCACAAACCTTCTAAACAAAGAATCTATGCAATTGAACCGGGTTAATGGTTATGGTATCTATCAATTTAAAGGTCCAAGTTATTTATAAGTAATCTTGTTTATATACCATTAAACAAAGTTTTTAAAGCTATTTTGTGCATTATTGCATTAAATGTCTTCTCATGAATAACAATTTCAACAATATATCTTTTATATATTTGCACAAAGAATGTAATCATTACTTATCTTGGATGTAAAAATGTAATTTGCTTTTGCAATACACAGTATTAATTTGCCAAAATATAATTAAGTTGTAAATATATGTTATCAATTTTAACTTTTAAATTCCCTCCTTTTGCTTTAAAATATCCATTAAAGATAATATTGAGTTGGTAAATCGGAGCTTGTTCGGGTTAATCAGTCAAATTATATCGGAGCACAACTTCCTACAATGTTGCAGGACTCCTCACGTTATTTCTGAGATTCAATTTCTAACGAAGACAAGCTATCTTTTTTTCTTTTTCTTTAACATACCCTATGAAAATAAAATCATGAATATTAAATCCAACATATAATCTTCAAACAGATCTTATGAGACATGCTATGAAATACAAAATAAGGCATGAATATGTGATCTTAGTTGCCCAGAAAACTCTCAAATACATATTATTTATGAAATTGATCTAAAGTCATCATTTAAACCGGATTTCAGCAATTTCGCCTCAATAATATTATTGTTTAGGGGTGTGCGATAAACTTACCTTCACGTGGTGCAAAATTGCAACGTATATTCATACTTCCAAAAGTCTGTAAATCAGCAGTTGGGGCTAAGGATAAAACTCATAAAGCCTGATATTTGAAATAATAATATTGTTTGATGACAACTTGTACATCCCCGTAACAAAAGGACGTTTTTGAAAGCCTGATTCAGATCAAATACTGGTTAAATAATAAGTCTATTAAAGTTCACAACCATTCCAATTTTTTATTGTCGAAGAGCATAGTGTGTTTATTTAAGTTGCTTTGTATTATGTATAGTAAGGGTGCATTTACAGCATCGCAATTTCAGTTTAACTAATATTATATAGACTGAAAATATTCCCTTATTTTTTGTTTTAAGAAAATTTCAAGAAATATGTAATGGTCTAGATTGTTCCCATCGCAAATTATAAATTGCATTTTATTCCAACGTATACGCAAGTGTTCCTCAACTTGGAAAATTATTAAGGAAATGTGCTCGCGTAAATATTTTTTGCTTGTTAATATTATTCAAATGCATTAAAATAAAAAATGAAATTCAAATAAATAGAAAGTAATAAGAAGAAATAAAAAGAACATTACTCTTTAATTTCCAATATTTTCAATAATGATAACTTTATAAATTCGAAAACCCGGCAATTACTACTTTTACGGCTTATAAACATCTTTTAAAATTTCGTTTTCATTGTTTTAATTTTGCAATGAAGTAAAATTAATTAACTCGTTCGTTAAGTTTTAAAGAACAAGATCTTTGTTTAGAAAACGTTCACATTTATTTACTCTTCTTTTTATGAATCACAGAACTCAATCTTGTTAAACTCGACCTTCAACTTGGTTAACCTGCAGAACTCTAAACGTATAACTTGAAACTTGCTTTTATGAATTTCTCTTGTGTTATTGCGGTCATTAAAGGAATTTTGCGTAACCCTTTCACATAATACTCTTATTCTTAAGTGATTAACGATTGAATTAATTTTAATTTATGCATTATTCTTTTTTTATGAAATATACTTTAACCATATTCATAATACTTTTATTTTTTCGAAAAATCAATGCGCAAGGACATTTACGTTGCCTTTTAAATGAATTTTTCATTTCGTTTTTAGTTGAAACTGCTCAGAGAGATCCTTCCAGCTATGTCGTCTAAATTGTCCTTTGAGTCTACCTGTGGACCGTCAAATAATTGGGTTCAGCTTTCAGGACATAGTGGTAAGTTGTCTCCAGAATTTATCACTTGATTCTACGATATTTGCATTTGGGGTATGAATTGCATTCCGTGTTTGTCTTTGGTTTATATTTCCCGCCCTCATTTGACAAAGTTGGTATGGATTTTCTAGTGATTAATTTATGTATTATGATTATTTACCAAACAGTGCTGTAATACACTATATGTCTTCCATACTCATTATCAGTATTTGTTTTAATTACTATCACCAAATTAAATAGGCAATAGTTTTAAAAATAGCTTCCATACATTTTTATTGTCCTTTACTTCGCCTTTTGTGCAGTTTATTTTTTCCTAAATTCATTCATAAATATTTTTTTTCGGGATTAGTTCTCATTGCTAATAGGTGAGAATGATTATTACTAAACCCTTTATTTGACCAAATTTGCCTCATGTAATTTGCTGGAAGTGTTTTAGTTTCTATAATTCGCATTTACATTATACAATCTTCTTGATTATTATGGATAACGCTATCTAAATTACTCCTGAAAGCACTTTTTAATTTGTTTTTCTTTGGGAATATCACGGTGCTAGATTTGACCTAATATATTTTTTCGAATAAATTTCATGATTTTAACTTGTTGAATCTCATTTTTTTATTAGCTACAAATTTCCCATGCTTTTTTATTTGAAAACCTTTCTACATACTTGTCTTTCTCTTCATATTTATTGGTTTCCAAAGCAAATGTGTGTAAAAACATAGTCAAATTTTTCTTTGATGGAAAATCACAGATCTAATCGGTTCATAGTCTAAGGGTGATTCCCTATAAGAAGTCTTTTATCTGCAAATTTATTTGTAAATCCTTTTACAAAAAAATCCATTATCCCTAAATTAATTGCACGTGCACTTAAAATTAATTTTTTTTAATTTCTATCGCTATGGTATCTTATCTAAATGTGCAAGTGATCGAGATCGGTAATCCCATTTAATCAATTCGATTTTATGGTATCAAACTCACTAATTTGTCTCAAGAAAAATTATTTTAAAAATAATTTTTTGCTCTTATATGAGGCGGAAGTTCTTTGTGGAGTTCCTGGTTTCTCACTGATCTGCCGATTTCGCGCAGACATTTCACATAATGCAAGCAGAAATGCGTGTATTTTTTTGTTAACTGTCAACGTGCTTCGTCATTAAATTACAATTAGCGTTACGCTACATCGCATAAAATTGATCGATGACTTGTCGGATCTCTGCACACTTGTCCGAATTTTCCAAAAATGATGGCATAACGCACAAGAGAGTCCTTTACAGAACAGCGTCTCTATGGCGAGCGTTTTCTGCTCATAAATCTAAAATACCCCCCCCCCACCACCACCACCACTAAATCGTGGCTGGTGAAATAATTCGTAATTATAAGGAGGTTACGGTTTTTTTCTACGCGTCTCGAACATATATTTTTTATAAATCGCATTTTTTAATTTTTTTGCTTCTCTATGTTTATTTTGCGGTGACTGAAGCAGTGATCACCGACATTCGTCTTCCAAAAATATTTTTGACCTACATTTAGAAGTCTTGAATTGTTGCCCTCCTCATGATTTCTTCAACACTTTTTATTATTAGCTATCTGGTAATATCAGCTTTTTGTGAACAGAAAAGGTTAAAATGCACTTCGTGATTTAATTCCTAATGGAAAATTAATTAACCTCAAAATGAATATGAATATGGAATATGAAAATTTGGGTTTAAAAAGGAAGCAGTCTTATTGATCTTTCCTCGGATCTTTTCCGTTTTTCCGAAAGTCCGCCCATCCGGTTATTTGGGGGGGGGGGGGGGGGGTTAAAAATTAAAATGTAGTCTTACAGCTTTTCTCAATTTGGGACTGAAGCTTGACTCTCCCAATACGGATGGGCGGTTATTTGGTTCCAAAAATATAGTTTCGTGAAATGGAATTTTCCGCTTAATCGCCCTGGGCGGATTTTCGGAAAACCCCGGTTATACCTTGCCTAAATCTTCATAGTTCATCCTCAGCAATCGGTCTTTAACTCACAAAAACTTATACCAGTTGTGTCCCTTGGACTTATTCATTGTTGCCCAGCTTCATACATTAATGAAATCAAATTTTGCCGGAGACATTTCTAATTAATTATTTGTTACGTTTGTTTTTCAAGAATTTGGCACCAATTGCGCCTCGTTTCTTATCCACCTAGGTGTTATCGTCTTTTTCCGAAGCACGTCATCTATAAAGCCGGTGTCTAGTAAGCGTGATTTTACTACAATAACTTGTAAAATTAGTGGCATTGAAGTAAATTTGGTTTTAGAGAAGCTATCTTCATTAAAATCCATTAATGTCTTCTTTTTTGTCATAACTTACTCCCAAAGTATCCACAAATTCCAGAACTCAATAAAGAACGCTTAAATATCTTGAAGGTTGGTTCTCGTATAAGATATTTAGTCATTCTTATCCAAGTAAAATGAATTGTGCTATACTGTGCATAGTACTAGTTGAATTGTGATAAGTTTTCGTTATGCCAACGGGAACTTGTGGTGTGCCTTCTTCTGGTTGGAATATCGCCTTGTAAGTCACAAAATTTGCAAATTTTATTTAATTAGTGTATTTAAGCTTTATCGTCTACATTGTGGACGTTTTGTGAACGTCTATGAAAGTTTTTGTGATCGCAAACTTTGCGTAGTTTTTTTTGAAAAAAAAATAGGCAATTTTAGTAATGAAAAGCATTAGATGTTAAATGTCTTTACCACATATTCTCATAGATCTCGTTGCTAACCAATTTCCCTTTGCACTAACACAATATTGAGGGATGGAGATGTTTCAAGTCGATTATAATAAATTGGCTAATTTTGTTAAAGCTTGTTACTAAGGTGTTTTCATACTGTCTGAAAATCACCTTTAAAGTA